TAAATGATAAAGAATAACAAGAATAAGCAAAATTTGGTAGTTTTGTGGACTTATGAATGCGAACAGACTGGCATGGAGGTGGATCCACAATCTCAGATGAAGCTTGAAGGGCTGTAGATGAGAATGGAGCTTCAGGTGTGCTAAAGAGTAAAGTACCAATACCTGTAGAGTTATAAATACAAATTGATCAAACATGGGGAGAGGCATCATTACCAGAATCCTCAGAAAAGGGATCTATATGAATAATATCAGATTTAGTCATGTTATGAGTAGTGGATGGAATAGAAAAGAAAGATATATGCTCAAGAAAGACAACATGATGAGACACATAAAGTTTCTGAGTTATTAGATCAAAACAATTTTACCCCTTTTTACTTTCACCATAACCCAGAAAGACACAAATAACGGATCAAGAGGATAACTTATTGCGTTCTACATGAGGGCAAAGAACAAAACAAGTACATCCAAAGACTCTAAATGAGAAATAATCAGGCACATACCCATATAACTTTTTAAAAGGAGATAGACACGAACTATGAGAAGATGAAATTGTATTAATCAAACTTACTGCAGTAAGAATAACTTCTCCCCAAAACTTACTAGGAACAAAAGCAGACAACAAGAAAGAAGTTTCGACAATATGCCTATGTTTTCTTTCAGCAACACCATTTTGCTCAGGAGTATCTGTACATGAAGTTTGGTGGGTGGTTCCATTTAAGGCAAGCAATTGGCAAAATTTATTAGAGGTGTATTCCCCACCCAAATCACACCTAAAACATTTAATCACAGTAGAATGTTGAGTTTTGATAAAAGCTCGAAAAGTTGTATATATCTCAAAGAATTCAGAATGATGTTTCATTAAATAAATCCAATAATAACGAGTATGATCATCAATAAAAGAGACATAATATCAAGACCCTCCCTTGGTGGCAACAAGAGAAGGTCCCCATACATCAGAATGAATCAAATCAAATGGTGTAGAAGAAACAGAAATACTTCGATTAAAAGGTACAACAGAAAATTTTGCCAGTTTACATCCACTAGAATCAGAAATGTCACAAGTTTTTAAATTTACTAAAGCTCCCGAGGATGCTAAAAATCTCAAACAAGAAGACGAAACATGACCTAGACGGGAATG